AGTGTAACTATTTTTTAATGGGTGCAACTATTTTTTTAATAAGTGTAACTGTTTTTTAATTGGTGCAACTATTTTTTTAATAGGTGTAACTGTTTTTAAATGAATGTAACTTTTTTTTAATTGGTGTAACAATCACAGCCTCATGCAATTATTAAGGCATGATGGTGTAACAATACCGCGATATTAAATGGTGCAACTATTTAGTTTATATAAACAACTGAATGAAAAATTGAGTTGATGTCATAATTTTGTGCAATTGTTTTGTGTAAGTGTTTGATTTATTAGAACGTATAAATAACTGCTTAGTGTATTATAAGACAATTATAACTAATTAATGTAATATTAATATAAATAGAGAGAGATAAATTGTTAAAAAAAATATACCCCTATTTTATCTCTCATTGCTTGATTGTAAACAAAATATATAGAAGAAATACAAAATATTTCAACCTATCAACTATTTACTGAATGACAATATTATCGTTTTTTAAAAATATGCATTTAATCCCAAATAAAATTTTGTGTTGTATTTTCAATTCACCTATTTTTAAACTAGACCTCTAAACTGAGCCTAGTCTGAGCCAGTTCCATCAGTATTAATAATCTTACGCATTTCCTCGGTATAATTATTCTTTTGATTTTCTTCCCATATCTAATCTTTTCCCATGATTATCTCTCATTTATAAAAATAAATAAATTTATTTTGTACTCTAAAATATTTAAAATTTTTATTTTTTATCTTTAAGAATTAATTTTTTTATATTATGCCATCAAATATATTAAAACTATTACAATACAACCATTTCGTTAGAGATTAGTTTATTATTTAAATAGAAAAGAATATTATAAAAATTTGTATATTTAAATACAAAAGAAAATATTAGTCTTTATAATTTTTTATAAAAAAAAATAATGAATTAAAAATATTTCATATTAAGATTTTTTATTAGTAATATAAATATAAATATAGATAGATTATTACTTACAAGTCATGACCCATATCAATCGAATAAGACGTGTCAAATGGATTTAAGGTGTAGGACGAATTTTTTTTATAACTTAAAATTTTGTATTATAAAATTATGATAAATAATGATTTAAAAAATAATTAAAAAAAAAGAACGAAAAAGAGTCCGTTGATTAATTATGAGATGTTTAATTCTACGCGTTTCCACGGTATAATTATTCTGATTTTCTTCTTTTATCTAATCTTCCATGTGATTGTCTCTCATTAAAAAATGGAAAATTTTATTTTGCACCCTAAAAGATTTAAAAATTTTATTTTATATTTTTAAAAATTAAAATTTTTATATTGTGTTCTTAATATATTAAAAATAGTATAATACAAACTTTTCGTTAACTTTGGTTGTTTATTCTATTAGAAATTAACATTTTGACATTGACGGTATGTGTGACAGAAACAAAAAGAAAGACAATATTATAATATTTTTAACATATTAATAGCATAATCTGAAAATTTTAATTTTGAAGATACAAAATAAGAATTCATAAATTATTCAAGGTTCAAAGTGCTATTCGCCGTTTTAAATCTGTCATAATCGTAACGTGGATTACGATGACGTTTCCATTTCTACTTCTTTTACTAGAAATAGCCCAAATGTCATGATTTCTGACATCCTTCTCGGTTTCACACAGTTGGCACATACAGAGAGAGAGAGAGAGAGAGAGTCTACAGATTGATTCAACAATGGCCACACTCACTGTGCCTGCATCGGTTCCATCTGCGGATGAGGATTGTGAGCAACTCAGAAAAGCTTTTGCAGGTCCTCCTAGCCTCTTTCTATGTTGTTTAGGCTCTGTATAGTTCTGATATGTGATTTTTTAATGATGATTTTCACCTTCAGCATTATCAGATCCACGATCATTTGAGTTCGATACGCTTAAGATCACACTTGTTTTCGATCTCTCATTATATTTATGTACACTAAATGTACAATTTGGATTCTAGTTTCACTATGCTCCTGTGGAAGTGTTGTTTATTTCTGTTGGGATTAGATTGTTGTTTACTATAAGGTTTGAACAAGGTTTTGGTGTTCTGTTGACTCTGATTTTTCCTTCTTGAAATGGTATTATTTTATCTGAAGATCTGCGGAGAGTGATGTGGCAGGATTTTTTTTTTTTTCGTTTGTTTAATGNCAAATTGCTAACACAGTGAACTTGTTATATGACAACATCAAACAGATTCCTAGTGTACTTTGAAGAACAATTCTGAATCACCCACCAGTGGTAACTTCATCCAAGTAATGCTTGCTTATGATATATGATAAAAAGTATGGTACCTCCCCTCAGAAATACTATTAGTGGTCACCAACAAACACGGGCTCTGAGATTTTGTACATCAGTGGGCTAAAACTACCAAGACAGGACAGTAGGTGAATAATAATATGCATAATACAGTTCAGGTTGGTTGGACATTGCAGCAATCCAAATATGTGACTATCGGAGTCAACCATAGAGCCTAACAAAGCATTAAATGCCCACCGCATTATCCAAATAAACAAAACTTCATTGGCTAAGTAATGCTAAACTAATCAAAATTTGAGACCAAATTTGGAGCCCAAATGACATGGTAGTTGACTTGGACTTCTTTGATTGGTATCATGTCATTTGGGCCCCAATAAAAACTTCAAATAATCAACTGTCATGTCATTTGAGCTCCAAATTTGGTCCCAAATTTTGGTCAATCTAACATTACTCGTGGAAGTGTTACTTTCCAATTATTGCAAAAGAGGCCAGAAGTTTTACTGCCAGCTTACAAGGATAATAAGGATGATAATCTGCATGCACCAAAATGCTATTGAATAGAAAACCAAGGATAGAGCATATAATCAACAACAGCACACAATCAACTACTCAAATTGATATGAAAGGGTTCCTGATAAGAAAGCGGTAGTAGTTTTTGCCATCTCCAAAGTAGCACACATAATTCTAATACAAAGAAGATGCCAATTAAATTCATTTGTTCCCATTGGAGCACCCAACCCAAAACCAATTGGCAATGGGTGGAGTGGCCCCTCAGGTATTAAACCATCCTTGGGTCTACTTAATTATTCGATGTGAGATAGGTCTTTTCACACTCTCACTCACATGCATCCTGGACTAGCACCTGGAACTAATAAATCAAACTGAAATCAAATTGGCAATGGGTGAGAGACTTGACCCACTAACTACCCAAGGACTAGATCTAATACCACGTCAGAATATCTAACCCAAAACCAATTGGCAACGGGTGAATATCCAACCTTGGGTCTATTTAATTTTTTGATGTGGGATAGCTCTGTTCACAGTTTAGAAGCATAATTACCCTATTGAACAAACTAAACATCCTGGCAACATGCAAGGGACAAAAGACACCAAAGCAACTAATAAAGAAGGTTACAGAATA